ACCGGGATCTGACCGGAAGATGCCATAATGTGATAAGCGCACTACCCGGAGACGGAAGATGAACTTGATGCCATTGTGCTTGTCGCTGGGGTGTCAGAAACCCTCCACTTCAATTGTTGGAGGTACCTGCCGATACTGCTACGTCACATCACTCGTGACGATGTTATTTCTGTCCTGTTGTTCTTAGTCATTAACTCGGCGTTTTAAATTTTACTTTATTGTTTTCCTGTGCTGAGCTACTCGCTCATCCAAGTGCGTACAAATGGTTGTCAAACTGAGCCAAACCAATTGGTCCGGGTCCACAGGTATCTGGGTAGCGAGCTAATAAGAGTTGGCATTTCTATGTACTTCTATGACCTTCCCATACAGGATTAATGCAGATATTACTTGGAGGAGTTATGTAGGCGCGATCCGCCGCCAATGAAGCGTTGCTCTCTAAAGATCCGTTCTTCTTTTTTCCTATTCTTCCAGCAAGTTTGCGGCTTACACAAAGGGTAGTGGACGTTCTTCATCTGGTCTCGTGCAGTGGGACAATGAGTCTGACGCTCTGGCTGCTCTGGCCATCGTCAATCACCATGAGATACCCAATCCTGACGATGGTCGGCACACGTTCATCTTGAAGCTGTCGTTTGCCGCCGAGTCTATTCGCGATACCAACCATTAGAGGAGTCCGGACGTGTGATGTGGTGCTCAGTCGAGTCCGAGGATGTTGAATAAGCTTCTTGTAAGTTTATTTTTGTGTGTGTCAGACCGCTTGACGGTAAGCAATGTCTGTCCGTGGACGTTGTTCACTTGGGCCTAAACCATCATCAAGAGCTTACACGTAGCACCATCTTTAACTCCGCGCAGACTGAATCGGGTTCATCAGCTACGTGAGATTTCCGCTAGCCCATGCCCTTTTCTGTAGTGAGTCCTTGTCCGCCCATCGGCTTGTGTGATCTTTCTCATCATCCGGCCTGAACAGTGTTCATCCGGAAGCGGGAAACCCGACTTACTTTATCAGTTTATCAACACCCGATTGTCTATACCATTTCCAGAGGCCCCTAGGTGATGGAGTTCTAGAAGGTACCGGAATCAATAGCCAAGACATCATCATCATTATCAGATGTAATAACCGCGTACTTGTCGTTACAGTTTCGTTACCGATGATTCGGGGAAGTGGGGTAGCTAGCTGTGCATTGGAGGCGGGAGCTGGTAAATTAATGCAGCACTGTAAGTGGACCGAACAGTGCGGGGGTTGGGAAGGGAGCTATGCATTGAAGGCAGTAGCTTGGATGCATGAGCGCCATTGAGGGCGCGACTGCGCCATGTCTGACAGTGTCTCTAACCATTGATGTGGCCCGTCTCGGGGTCCCCATCCAGGACGCCGGCTACGACCAGCCTAGCTGAGTTTGCTGGTAACTGCAACACTCCTGCGAACCTTGGAGTCATTTCTAATGTAATTTTTGCAAGATTAGGCTTTCGGCTAATTTTCTTGCCGGAACATGCTATGCATAGGATTGATAAAAACTCATAGGCTTTTTCGCACTTCTCGGAGCTAATCAGGTAAGTACAGTCAAGTCTTCCGCGAATTGTTTAAATCACTGTGCTACGAGCTGACCCATATGTTAACCGACTGTCTTATCCGAGGCACTCAATGGTCCATCGTTTTCCCAAGGGTTCGATTGAACGACTAGTCTAGGTGGTGTTGCATTCGATGTGAATTACCTGAACTAATTCGACTGCCACTATAGTCGTCTTCATTCTGATCATTGGCTAGCTGAACGTTAGTCACCTCAGCATTAAGTTTTTCACCACTGTTTTTTCCGTCTGGCTGGATGGTTAAGGAATCCTAGGGTCGCCTTGATATTTCATCCGACACATTCTAGACACCGAGACGTATCCAGCTAGCCGATTCCTTACATTCATCGTCATTCAGCTAAGCCATACACCGCATTGAATGTTGATAACACACACGCCCGCATTGTCCCGTGTCTCAAACGTTTTCTCCCTTTTCATCCGTGTATGTGTGTTATGCAGGTTTCAATTCCGTTCGCCCCATCATTCGCACCCGATCACCACTTCAACTCCATCCTACTCGCCATTCAACAACAACAAGCACGCACACACACGTATCAGGCGAACCAGTAACGTCCCCACTTCACTTCACAACACTGTTGCTATTCAAGCTGTCTGTTTCATCCTGTTTGCTTACGTTTTTATTGCTAATTCACTCACATATGTGTTTGTCCCTTTTTCCAACTGCGTTCTTTTGCAGGCCCACGTCGTTTAGTTCACCTCGTCTTGCAGTGGCGTGAAGATCGGTTTCTTTTGACATCTAGTATCCATTCTAAAGAATGATGGCACCACGCGACGGCCGATGTGGCATGAGAGGATTGTTAGTTGTGTATGTCATAGTTGTACGAAGGCTGGGATACTGCCAGGGCGCTCACACCTAGACAGGAGGACGATTAGGGTCCTGAACCAAGCCTTTGGCTCAAATAGAGCAGATAGTATGTTCGTGAGACTTCCAATGGGAGCTCTCCTACCTATGATTAGCCAACTGCGGTTACTGCTTTCTGTTGAAGGTTGCAATGGCGGTGGTTGATAACACATTCATAGCGGCTAGTCCGGCGGTGATCCAAAGTCGCACAAACCTAGATTTGAACAGCGGCGCTTACCCCTTTGTTTGTGATACTCTTAGTTTAGCACAAAACCGAGGTAAGGTACTTGTACGCCTGACCTGATCACCACCATATTGTGCAATTTGATCGATTCGTTTGTTTCAACGGTTTCGGAGCTGGAAGCCGGCTAGAGGTCCCGGGCGAGGACTCCGACCAAACCACAGACTATCAAGCAGTGTCTCAAGCCACTTTTGACATCTTTCAGCTATTGCCACCATGAAGATGTCACACAACTTCATAAGAGACGGATTCACACGGCAGCTGTCATAACCCGGGTTCTTTCGTGCTCTGGAATGTGTCCCTACTTGGGTTTTGTCGGGTTCCAATTGTACCTCTGCTATCAAGATAGTCGATCGTCGTGGTCCTCCTCATGACGTAATAAGCAGTAGTGGGGCCGCTGGTGTACATGCGATGGCACAGCCCCGGTAGGGCAACGACAAGCCCCAGTTTAGGGCTTCTGCTACCGACCAAGAGGTCTCTGGCTGCAATTCCGCGACAAGCCTTTCCAAAGTTCTTGTCGTCACTCAAATAAACTGGCAACATCTGTGCCAGCGGCCCTTGTCCGGTTGTTCTGCAGTTATGCACCGAACAAATGCCCCGACCGAACAGTCTTGTATCTACCCAGCATTTTACTCCGTGCTCATTTCATTCTCGAGCAAGCTTTCAATGCGTTTGGCGACTTCTGGCTCTCTCCTTCCAGCTGATTAGTGAGGAGATTAGAACAGGGTTCCCTATAGTCGGTACGTCTGGCGTCATACTGCTGCCAGAATGGATGGACTACTGGAGACAGTCACAAATTCTAGTGGGAGGCAATGCATGCTGAAAAATTTTTGTCCTTATTGGAAATTATCGGCAGTGTGCATCTGACCAAACTCCGGAGAGTTTGGTTAAACCGCGACCTCTTGGTTATTGGCTCTGATACCGTTCAGCTGATCGACATTTTAGCCCTCGTGCTTTCTTCAGGTGGCATGGCAGCTAAGCTGAACAGTTATCTATTATTCAACTGATCAACTGTGCAATTAGTTCGCACTTAGACAGGTTACAGTGTCGTTCGTCCCTCGGTTATGGAATCCACATCACGCGAGGTACGCACTGCTCATGCTTCGCCATAAGGGTGGAATTGCCACACTGTCGTTGATGGGCGAATTCTGATATGACAATGGGACTCATATCAATGGGGAGACTAGGATAGGAAGCAACCTAAGCCATATTCGGGATGCTTGCGCGCTTAACTAGGCCATGTCGGTCAATGTCCGTATGTCTGTCTTGTTTCAAGGTCACTTTCCATCCAGACGGCAGACACCAAACCAGCTGAGGTCACGTGTTATAAGTTACGTACCACGCGGATCGCCCCCATGCCGTCCGCATTCTGAACGTGCTAGGAACAAGAGGATTCCTCAGGGAAGCTGGTCTGGCAGCGTGTCAAGCAAGCCATCAGTTCATTCCTCCGATGACAGTAGGTCTAATTCAGCCATTATGTCAACCGAACCCTAAGTGTTCCGAAGATACTGCTTTGGAACTCTCTCACGAACCTGACCCGCTACAGTGTTGCAGACAAACTGACGTCACATCTATACCCGGGATTCTGCCGGTTCGAAAGGCCGTTTCGACCCTCTCCATCAGTTCGCTTTCAGCTAGATTATCGGGACTGATGCAGCTACTCTGGTAAGTGAACCTGTCCACCACCGCTATCCACTCACCTTCAAGCATGGGTTCGGTTTTGATCTTATCTTTCAGCAGCTCTTCGCAGTTGGTGGATGTGAAGTATATTAACAAGCATTTCAACAGAGTCAACTCCTAGAACTACACTGCTTGTTGCAGTCTCGTTCCCCTGTTTTTTTTTTAATAATGCTCACTTTTCGGTTTGTTTTTCAAATATCAGTTTATCCAGTCACTCTTCCGTCTTGATTTTAAAAGAAAATCAAGAATTGTGCCCCTTTGGTGCACAACTGCTACGTAACTTGGGGGACAACAGGAGGGCCAAAATACTGTCAAGCAGAAGCGTAGGCAGCAGCAGTCGAAAAACTAGGGTTAGATTCACATCACGGTCAGTAGCTTCGCCGCGTAGCCGCTGAATGACTGCCTCATTTTGAATCCATTTCATTACCGTTTTCTACGTGTCATCGCAGATTACCTAAATCATCCTGATTCTGACTTCCACGTCAATTCTTTCAGGATATCTTGTATCCTTCACTCATCACTCTCAGATACGCCTACTCTTCAAGTGCACCCCTTCGTAACATCCGGCTGTTACGTTACTCTCCAAACCTTGATAAGAAGAATTGCTAGATTCGCACGGCCGCTCGAGGATAATGTGTACAAAGCTCGGTTGTCTGGGAATTCACTAAATCGGACGGAAGGTATTACATCGCTGCGAGGTTATTTGTTTGCAAACACGAATTAATCAGTTACAAGACATTAAGAATTCGTTCAGGGTAACGCCCTTTCGGTGCCTAGCTGCCATGCCACCAGAAGAAAGCACAAGTGCCGGAGTACCGCCAGGTTGCCCAACCCTGGACAAGCTAAGTCGAGATGCAAAGGTGGCGTTCAAATCGCGGACCTTTCGATTAGTAAATTCGTATTCTAGCCACTGATCTATCTCGCCCCTACGAGCCATTAGATATGAAAGGAAACACATTGGCACCAAGATTTGGAGAGAAAACATTTTCACGCGTCCCTTTGAATCTTCCTGGTTGCCCATTGACTATGAAGCAATAGGAACTGAACATTGCGAAGCCGTTCCGTAACAAACCTAATTTCCCACCAGATGTGGGCGTGGAGCTTGTACATCAGATCATAGACTACTCGCATGCTTCATCAGTAGTATAGGTTGCCACACCAGCAGTGCCGTTCAAAGCGTTAGTAACCTCTTTTCTCGCACGCAGAAGACATGCCCATTTCTGTTTTTTTTTCATCTAGAACAAGGATGACAACGGCTTGGTGATCGGCTGTAGGTAATGCGTATCTGAACCAATCAGAAGCTGTAGTCCGTAGTGTATGAGGTCGTTAGTTGGTTGGCTGAGCTGCCGGAATGCGTCCTTCACTGTCTCTCCCGGTCTATGTTAATTTATCTTATCGACTCCCTACTGTTTTGACTATTCCTCGTCCACTGTGAGTTATCTGGTTGTGACCCCATCCAGTAACTTAGTTGGTCTCCGAACATCCAAGCAGCCTTTCGTGAAGTTCGACAATGAAACGAGCTGAGGGCGCTCAGTAACTATCCAATTGTGCGGTTGCCGAAACAACTTTCTGGGACCGGTGAATATCTCAGCTGACTTCGTGGTAAGGTGTCCACCTTGTTTCCTGTTCGTAAACGAGTGAAGCAGCAGGAGCTGCAAGCAATGTGCACAACTTAAAGCTGAATAGTCGAACGCCATAAAAATTTTGAGTGACTATCAGGCCAGATCGATCAAACCAAATTGTGAGAACAGCTACCGAACAAGCCTGACGCAAAGTGAGGTACGACCGAGAGGACTGAAGGTCGGGGCGTTGTCAGCTTGACAATGTTAAAATCCAGACCAAATCAAGTGGTTAAAAAAGAGGTAGCAATTAAGTTAGTGGAGCTTGTAATCAGATCATAGACTACTCGCATGCTTCATCAGTAGTATAGGTTGCCACACCAGCAGTGCCGTTCAAAGCGTTAGTAACCTCTTTTCTCGCACGCAGAAGACATGCCCATTTCTGTTTTTTTTTCATCTAGAACAAGGATGACAACGGCTTGGTGATCGGCTGTAGGTAATGCGTATCTGAACCAATCAGAAGCTGTAGTCCGTAGTGTATGAGGTCGTTAGTTGGTTGGCTGAGCTGCCGGAATGCGTCCTTCACTGTCTCTCCCGGTCTATGTTAATTTATCTTATCGACTCCCTACTGTTTTGACTATTCCTCGTCCACTGTGAGTTATCTGGTTGTGACCCCATCCAGTAACTTAGTTGGTCTCCGAACATCCAAGCAGCCTTTCGTGAAGTTCGACAATGAAACGAGCTGAGGGCGCTCAGTAACTATCCAATTGTGCGGTTGCCGAAACAACTTTCTGGGACCGGTGAATATCTCAGCTGACTTCGTGGTAAGGTGTCCACCTTGTTTCCTGTTCGTAAACGAGTGAAGCAGCAGGAGCTGCAAGCAATGTGCACAACTTAAAGCTGAATAGTCGAACGCCATAAAAATTTTGAGTGACTATCAGGCCAGATCGATCAAACCAAATTGTGAGAACAGCTACCGAACAAGCCTGACGCAAAGTGAGGTACGACCGAGAGGACTGAGGGTCGGGGCGTTGTCAGCTTGACAATGTTAAAATCCAGACCAAATCAAGTGGTTAAAAAAGAGGTAGCAATTAAGTTAGTTGAAAGCGGAATGACCGACCGAACTGCCTTGTCAGCCTATGTCCACTATCAAGTCACGATCGGTTTAATCCCATTTTCGACGGGCGTTTTCATGGTCATTATTGACGTAGCAGCCCAAATAATTGGTCCTACTTAAGTAGCATAAGGCACGAAAATATCTCCCTTCTGAACGTTTTATTGGGAAGAAAGCTGTTTTTTGCAGTAGGTGGGGAACAAAAGAGCGTGTTGTATGGAGCTCCAGTGCCCCCACTTGCAAAACGGAACACAGCGATGACCTTCATGTGCCGTGAAACCGACTTATCCCAACGAAAAGTGCGGCTGAAATTGAATATGAAATGCCTACTTGTTGGAATTACAGTTGGATTACCGTAGGACTTCTGACTGCACCATTTCTACGTTTCCGTCTGACTGTGGCTGAAGTTGATAGACGGAGTTGGCTTCCAGTCCCAGCGGAGGCTGACAGGCCAGGACGGAATGGTGGCGTTATTGATTTCTTTGTCGAGACGGCAATTTGGTTTCATTTCAACACCATTATCAGTGGACGTGCTTGTGTTTTCGTCTGTGACAAGTGCTATATGCCCCCAATTCAGAGAATGATTTGTGCCAATCAACAGCAAACTTCTCGAAAATGGTAACAACTTTGTGTTAGTGCGAGAGCACATATTTCTACCCAAGCTCTTTAGTTTGCTTCACAGACACAGACTCACATCCGTTCTGAAAGACCGTGAGCTTTCTCCCCACCCCACACGCAAAACAAATCGCAGTGGTTTTCCATTTCGAACGCCTGTCACTGGCAGACATTCCCAATCCTCGTAAAAATGAAAGGGATACATCTCCCATACAGGGTGGAAACAGTTTTCTGTTCTCAACATGTCCTCTTATCATCTTCAGCTTTTTTGCTTGGACTTGTGTATTTTATGTCTAGCTTTCACTCCGGTCTGCTTTACCACCCAGGAAATGTGCGCATTCTGAATGGTTACAGCAGCTATCGCAAGCCAATCCGAAATTACTGGACTCTTTTAATTACCTCCGTATAAGTTTTCAGTGCGCTCGCGGGAGTCGCAAGAACTGACAGGCGGTCATCTACAAGTCTTCCTCAACACATCGAACACAGATCAGCATTTAAAAGTTTGAAACATCCATTTAGGACAGTCGCTCACCACTTCCCGCATTGTATCCAGTGCAAAGAAACAAGACAGTTGTTCAGAGTCGTAAACTACCCGAACTCTGTCACTTTTTGCTGAAGCAGCGGACATTTGAGTCTGCCAAACCCAAATCAGTAAGGCCTGTCTCAAACAACGACTACAGTCTTAGCAGCTTTTTCTCGTCGCCACCTGGGATCTGATGCTCACTGCTGACTGTAACGGTTTCATTCGGCTTGATTTTGCCACCGAAATTATCAATCCGTGATCCTGCTCGTCAGCTTGTGTGATCCGCGGAACAGTTTAATAGAATCTGTCCTTGGAGACGTTTCTTTTTACTCTCCTCAATTTCATAATGATGACTGATTTCGTCTGAATGTCTTAACAGTCGGTTGAAAGTGAAATTCACCAGCTCCGCAAAGTGGTCAGAGGACGCATGATTCGAGGGGTAGCAGACGGAAGATGATAGCGATTGTTTTACGGCTCAATAAGGACTTCACGCACTGTATGGTTGTACGAACTTTCACAAGGTAAATAGAATGATTTTGCACCACGAAGAGCTGCTGGTCCCCCAGGAAGTGTTATTCTGAAGTAGTCCTTTGACATGTTTCTGTTTGGAGGGGATAGAGCATGCGTATGCTAATGAATAAGTCTGTACACTAGAAGTCTCAATCTGCGTGGCACTCTGTCCGGAGACCAGCCGTCCCTGATAATCGAACATCACATCAGTTGGACGGATGTGTCACGTGCGGGCTACGGGCCGATCGAAGGCATGCCTGGTTGGTCAGAATGCCAGCCAATATGAACAGAACACATTTAACTCGAAGCTTCTCGCCCCCTCACAGAGATTCTAGTGCGAACTTGTAGAACATTCCGTGACCCTATAGATGCAGTTGTGGTAATTTTCCTTCTTCTCGGTAAAGGGCTGCCTAAAGCTACCATGCCATTTGATATACCCTAGTGGGCGGAACAGGAAGATAAGGACCTACAGTTTTGTCCCGCAAGACAACACGGCCTTACTATTTTCGGCAATCTATTGATTGGATTTTACTCGTCCCTTTGTTCAGGCCAGACACATGCTCAATATCATACTCATCTCTGCAAATTGCGATTTCCTAGTCTCCCTGGATCGTGTCCAGTCAGTGTCATAGCCATTACCAAAATTTTGCAACCAGTTAAAGTTCGCTATGATGGACCATAGTCGTAATGAAAAAAAACCCTGCTTAACATCTCAAGGTCAAGTCACCTGACGACGTTCGGACCTGCTGTGCAGTCGCATCTTTCCAGTCAGTTAGCCATTACCAAAATTTTGCAACCAGTTAAAGTTCGCTATGATGGACCATAGTCGTAATGAAAAAAAAA